TTATTATTTTCGGAATTAATTATGTTCAGTCGAGATTACAGAAATTTAATTTCGACATACCGTTTACGTTCGGAATAATTTTGGTAATTAAGCATTATGTTTAATTGAAAAAAATTAAACATAAACTAAGTAATTAATGTTAATTAATTACAATCAAAGTCTTAAGCCGTGGCTTAAATGTCCCAATTGTCGTGCTATATAGGTTTCAAATTTTCTAAACTCTCTTAATACATAAGGAAGAATTTTTTTTCTTACTTTGAGTTCTACGTGGCCTTAGGAGAAAAAAGGTATGTGGATTAATCATCTTAAGCTTATGCTAAAGGAGACAAGTGCTAAATGCCTAGCTAGGCCACGCCTCAATAACGTCATCACCATATCTTCCCCCACGACTTATATATATAGTTGGAAGGATGGAAAATTTTCCCCACTTTCCTTAATACAATTCAGCATATATTAGCCCTCTTGCAGCAGCCATTAAGTTCAAGTAAAATTCCCCAATTTCCTTAGAACTACACGCAGCACCTATAGAAGAACCGCACGGCTAGTCCCGCACGCACGGAGTAAGAAGAGCTTGCGTACCGGGAGTGTTTCGATCGAGTGAGCGAAGAGGTAATGTTCTCTTCAGCTATTGTTCATGTTATTTAGATCGTATTGAAGCTAGTGGTTCGAGTAATTTTCAGAATTTTAAGGGGAGATCATGTTAAGTTCGGTTCAAGTCGTATGTAAGATAATACTTATGTTCATTTCAGTCCGTCAAGTCCCGAGCGTTTATCGGTTATTTAGCCTTTATTCAGCATATCATGTTCAGTTAAATGCGTTTTGTCGAGTAAAGTTGAAGTTCGGTCGATAATTTGGCCCATGCCGTCGCTAGCGCCTATCGCGCGTAGTCACGGGTGGCCGTAGTCCATGTCTTAGTGAGTTCAGTATCGATCATGTTCTGTCCGTGTGGTTATGTTTTAAACTGCTTCATATTGATGATCATGTTGAGTTGTTCGGAAGTTGCCGGATAATAAGGTGTTGTGGCCGAGAGACGGCGTATAGCCGTCGGCGGCGCACGGCTCGCCCGCCACGGTCTTCTCATGTTCAGCGTGCAATAGTTATATTTTCAGGTTTAAATGATCCAGTTAAGTCCTAATACGTTCAGTTGTGTTAGGTTGTTCAGGAGTTTTCATGTTATTGAGAAATTGGCCGAAGGCCGTAGGGCCTCGCACATAGCGAGCGCGCCACGACCGAGTAGTAGTTTCGGTAAGTAAGTCAGCAATTTTTGTTTAAATTCAGTATCATGTTCATGTTAGGTCAGAACAAGTCTAAAGAAGTCAGTTCGGTCGGTAAAGTTTGCCGGACGGCCGGCGAGGGCCAGCCGTGGTCACGCTGCCGCACACAGCGGCAGCAGCGCGTCCGCCAGCAGACAGTAACGGGCACCGCGCGC